GCAAGGTCATTTATTGTGGCATAAGACTCTCGCGTTACCGCGAGATACAGTTGCTTCCACAAACCAAAAACAGTTTTGCTGCCTCAATTAAATTAGATTTTGACTCAAAACTTTAAGAATTCATCTATAATCAGCCTTAGCCTCAGATCATTGACGATTGGTTCAGCCCATGCTCCAAGTGGCTAAACCTGCTGTCCCTCCCGTACTAGGCAGAAACCATTGCAATAATTAGTCACAGTTGAGAGCGCGCAGAAGTTCCCAAAGCCTTGCCGCTTCTCCCCGAAGCAAATAATTAGGCGGGGGAAACTTAACACCTTCCGTGCTGAGCTCTGACTCCACCCATTGCCCCGCCTACTGTCTACCTGCAGAATGGTCTGTGCAAGGCCAGGCGACGGTGTGCGAACCCAAGACAAAGGAAAATAATGAAAAAGATAAAACTGGTAATCTTCTGTAGGATATCATATGTTCATTTCAAAATTAGGTGGCAATTAAAAGAGGATTGATGTAGAACTGTACAATACGCAGGTAATATTGAAGGTATTGGAGCCAGTCGTAAAACGTCAGATTTGGTTAGGAAGAAACATTCCGTAAAATAAGTTTATTTTTCGACTGGTTTATGAATCCTCACCATCTGTTTCAAGGGATTTTTATGGGTCGAAAAAGTCGCATGAATTTATTCAACATCTCTATACCATATTTATGGTCACCATTTCAAGAGTAGCATTGGCGAAGTTTCAAAGTAGCATTGGTTAGAAAGAGCGTCAACACTTTTAATATGATGTGATGTTATAGCACGAGCTATCGTCTCAATGTATCGTATAAAACGGGAAGATGTTAGAAGAAACGGTTTCTAAAGAAACAACTACAAGAAGATATTTTTGGAATAATGGTCGACTTAGAATTTGTAGTTTCGAATGGATTTGGACAATTTGTGATACGTGAAAGAGGAGCGTGCAAAGCTGTATCTGTAGGAAACGTTGAATAGTGATCTAACATTAAGTGCGACTCATATGAAAAAGCGTTGTGCGTGAATGTGGCAAACCTAGGTATGAAGTATCAACTATGATCCATAGCATAATGATGTGTCATGGAGGTAAGAGGAATTTCCACGAAGACATATTAAGAGAATTACAAGATTGTCTTTTTCACCTTCTCTTTTTCTTGCACTTGAGTTCGCACTACCTGGCCCTGCCCAGACCAATCTGTGGACAGAGGGTGCGTTTCGTTAGATGCCTGGTGCTCGCTCGGGCGAGAGGGAGCCAGACAGTTAGATCGCTGTGATCGATAACCGCGATTGAGCTTGATGGCGAGCGTCATCTCAGGCCCCGCCCGTTTCCTGCTTCTACGGCTGCTACGTCTTGCGACTGCTACCTCAGCGCCGCCAAGGAACTGTATTGGCGTCTCGTCGTCAGAAAAACATATTTACGATGCAAACTAAGCCTCAAACATGACACAAAGATTACAGATGGATGTTTAATTCTCTTACCCTTATAAGAAAATTTATAATATTTTTCACATTAGCTTCCAGAATTTCGAATAGAAATAAATATATATGAATAGGAATGATCCGGATTGAAGCAAAACTAAGAGAGAAGGGATTTCATAGAATTTTTTACACTATCACAACTGATCTAAATGTACGGCTATCTAACGCACGCCCTGTGGACAGACAGTGGGCGAAGCAATGAGCGAAGCCAGAGCCTAGCGCTTGGATGTTAGGCTCCACCGGGACTCCTCATTTCTAGCTCCGGGGAAAAGCGGCGAGGCTTTGGGAACTCCTAGTACACCTCCAGTTACAATAGAGTAAAA